GAATGTAAACTAGTACAACCACTCTGGAAAAAAATTTGGAGGCTACTTAAAAAGTTAAACATTGATCTACCATTTGATCCAGCAATACCACTCTTGGGGATATACCCAAAACAATTTGACACAGGTTACTCCAGAGGCACTTGCATACCCATGTTTATTGCGGCACTATTCACAATAGCCAAGTTATGGAAACAGCCAAGATGCCCCACCACTGACGAATGGATTAAGAAAATGTGGTATCTATACACAATGGAATTTTATGCAGCCATGAAGAAGAACGAAATGTTATCATTCGCTGGTAAATGGATGGAATTGGAGAACATCATTCTGAGTGAGGTTAGCCTGGCCCAAAAGACCAAAAATCGTATGTTCTCCCTCATATGTGGACATTAGATCAAGGGCAAACACAACAATGGGATTGGACTTTGAGCACATGATAAAAGCGAGAGCACACAAGGGAGGGGTGAGGATAGGTAAGACACCTAAAAAATTAGCTAGCATTTGTTGCCCTCAACGCAGGGAAACTAAAGCAGATACCTTAAAAGCAACTGAGGCCAATAGGAAAAGGGGACCAGGAACTAGAGAAAAGGGTAGATCAAAAATAATTAACCTAGAAGGTAACACACATGCACAGGAAATCAATGTGAGTCAACTCCCTGTATAGCTATCCTTATCTCAACTAGCCAAAACCCTTGTTCCTTCCTATTATTGCTTATACTCTCTCTTCAACAAAATTAGAGATAAGGGCAAAATAGTTTCTGCTGGGTATTGAGGGGGGGGAGAGGGAGGGTGTGGAGTGGGGGGTAAGGGAGGGGGTAGGGGCAGGGGGGAGAAATGACCCAAGCCTTGTATGCACATATGAATAATAAAACAATAAAAATTTAAAAAAAAGAGGAACCAGCTATGGAAACTGAAGGGAAGAAAGCCACTGAGGTAGCAGGAAGACTTGTAGTGATGAGGAAGACAAGGAACACAAGTTTTCCAAAAGGAAGGGCATGGACAACTGTATGGGATGACTTGAGAGTCTGAGTAAGATAAGGTCAGAGATGCTACCATCACATTTGGAGAAGACTGGTGACCTTCACCAGTTCTGTTCTGTGGAAGTCTGGCACAGATGCCTATTTGGGTGAGAATATTGGGTTAGAAGGTAGAGACAGTTGCTACTGACCATTTTTATGAGAAGTTTTGCTGTGAAGGGGAACAGAAGAACAGTGCAGACTGAGAAGCTTGTGGGGGCCAAACAAGGGTTGTTTCTTAGGTGTTGGACGTAGATGTGAGGATGGAAAAACCCATCAAATAAAGTGAGGGGGCATGACGATGAGGGTGAGAGGGATAATATGGGATAATTATAGGAGCTCTGTCCCCAAGAGAAAGAGAAGGGTGGGCTCCAGAACCCATGTGAACAGGAGGGCCTTAGACTGGCACACAGACAAGTCATCTGTTGTGACCAAAGGGAAGATAGAGAGGTGGTTGTTTCTTAGGTGTTGGACGTAGATGTGAGATGGAAAAACATCAAATAAGTGAGGGGGCATGACGATGAGGTTGAGAGGATAATATGGGATAATTTATGGAGCTCTGTCCCCAGAGAAAGAGAAGGGTGGGCTCCAGAACCCATGTGAACAGGAGGGCCTTAGACTGGCACACAGACAAGTCATCTGTTGTGACCAAAGGGAAGATAGAGAGGTGGGTTAGTACCATCAGGAGTGAGAAGATGAAACGTATGCAGTTCTCTCTGTGTTTATATTTTTAAAAAAACAGGGAGGGAAGTCAAGTACAAAGAGTGACATTGGTTGCTGGAGATTTCAAGAGACACGTACCAAAGGTATAAAATAGTTTTGGAGACTAGGATAAAAGCATATTGCAAATAAATGGAGAGTGGGTGGATAATATACTTCTCTCTGTGTTTATATTTAAAAAAACCAGGGAGAAGTCAAGTTACAAAGAGTACATTGGTTGCTGGAGATTTCAAGAGACACGTACCAAAGGTATAAAATAGTTTTGGAGACTAGGATAAAAGCATATTGCAAATAAATGGAGAGTGGGTGGATAATATACCCTTGACATAGAGGGAGACCATCACAATGCATGTATGTATGCATATGTGTGTACACACACATCCACATTCGTATACATACACCAAGCCAGGGTTAAGAACAGGCTCCAGAGCTAATGAATTACAGAAAGACCTAAACAGCAGCAAACAGACTGAGTTCAGCTGCTGGACAAAGAGCATCTACTCCTGAAGCAACTGTTATAAACCAAGCAAAGCTGGGCACTGGATCAGTTAGCCATCTGGTTTAGATGGTTGACTAATTTCCTTGATAGGCTGAAAACTGCGCAACTGGAATCACTTTGCAATCTCTCCGCCTCCATCCACTCACGGGCCTTTCCAGAGTAGTAAGAGTGAAGGGCAACATTTCCAAGTCCAGCTGTCAAGGGGGTACCTGAAGTCCTTGGATGGGCATCTGGACAATCTGTACACATAGTCAGAGAGCCTGAAGCTCCATAGAGAAGAGCTACAATTCTCCCACTAATGTCAATCAAGTTAGGGATAGAGCTGTAACTGCAAAGAGGAGTGTATCAGTTCCCTGTTGCTGCTGAACAAATCACTGCAAACAAACCGATTTTACACACTATAAATTTATTATCTTACAGTTCTGGGGGTCAGAAATTCAAATAGGTTAACAGGGCTTCTGCGGACTCCTTCTGGAGGATCTAGAAATTGAGTCCTTGCCTTTTCCAACTTCAACTAGCTATCTATGTTCCATGGCTTGTGGCCCCTTCCTCATCTTCAAAGCCAGCAGCATGGCACCTTCAAATCTCTCTCCAATCTGGCCTCTGTTTCCTCATCATCTCTCCTCTCATCTGGACTCTACTGCCTCCCTCTTTTCCTTATAAGGACACTAGTGTTTACAGTTGTCCTTACAATGCAAAATAATCTCTTTCTCTCCCATCCTTGACTTAACACTTGCTAAGTTCCTTTGCCTGTAAGATGAAGTATTTACAGGTTCTGGAGATTGGGATGAGGACATCTTTTGAGAAGAAGGAGTCACTATTCTGTCTACCACAGGAAGCCTTCTGCTCTCCTCACTGGAGTGACTTTCTCCTTGGGGAATTCCTTGATCCTATTTTCCACTGGAACTGTCACCTTCTGAATTCATTTGTGTGGAAACAGTGGCATTTCCCTCTCTTGTCTTCATCCTTCTTCCCTGTACTCTATGGAATGTCCTGTAGCCTGAAATTTAACTCAGCCACTGAAGACTTTTGTTTTTCTTCCAATGTTTAAAGCTTTTTTAAAAAGATCTTGGGCTGGCAGAGTAGCCCAAGTGGTAGTAATACCAAGTAGTACCAAGTGGTAAAGCACCTGCCTAGGAAGTGTGAGGCCCTGATACTCCAGTACTGCCCCCCCAAAAAAAGAAGCCCTTTATATGAAGCTCTGCGCTCATATGTCAAATGAGTGAGTGACATTGTCTTTGTCCTGTCATAGAATTTCTTCTGTGTTTCGGATATGCAAGATTTTTGAGTTTATGTTCATAAAACATTAAGAATGACAATGTTCCCCTGAAGTTAATGGGGAAGTTGATTTTGCAATCCACTAACTCTCCATATGTGAAATTATCAGAAAAAAATTATCAATCTAAGATTAATGTAGCATATCATTGGTGTTTACATCAGTCATCAATAGTTTACTGAGCAAGCGGACACCCACATAAGGCCATGTATTGGTGCAGAATTCTGTCTCAAATCCTGGTGGGGAAGATTCTGATATGTGATTTCAGCTGTGTGGCCTTAAAGGAAGATATGTCACCTCTAGAATCTTCCATGACTTCTCTGGCTCCTGAATGAACAATGAATAATTACATGGCTCTCTTGGGGATATGTAGACTACCTGGCTTTTGTTCCCAGAAAAACTTTATAAATGCCAAACTTTGCAAAAAATTAAAATTTCACCTCCCATAATTCATCTATGCCTTTCTAAGTCCCCACTGTTTTCAATTAGATTTGAAATGCTTCATTATTTCTCATTTAGAACCATGCTTGGATTTTGCTTTCAACCATTTCATATTCATTCATTCACTGGCTATCTCTTTGTTCATAAAGGAATTTCTGTTTATATTCCATTGTGGTTGTTTTTATTATGTCATAAGAAAAAATTCTGTTTGTATATTTAGAAATTTAAATTTTCAACTTTAAAATTTAAATTTCCCTTGAAGTACTTACCGTATGAGGTGTATGAACAGAGCTACAACTGCTAGTTCCTGATCATGTACTGGTCAGGTGCTCATGGGAAACCAAAGACATCCCCAGAAGGAGCCATTGAGAAGAGTTTAATGAGTGAGTATTTACAAAGATGAAGGAACTGTTAACAGAAACCAGTGAGGAATAATAGAGCAGCTGAGGTGTGGCCTATGCCTCAAAGGGCAGCTGGGGAAAGGGGCAGCCAGAACCTTCCAAGAACTGGAGCTGCAGAAAAAGGCCCAGGAGCTGAGGGTGCCCACTCCACACCTCCACCCAGCCAAGGGACGCAAGGAAGGTCCTGTCTAACTCCTCCCCCTTCCCTTTTCTCTAGCTGTGCTTCCTCTATTAAACCCATCTGGGAGCCTGGTGATACAGTCCACAGAGGTTCATTTCCTGGCACACACCAGGGTGGAAAAGAGTGGAGAGCAATCTGGAAGGTCAACAGAAAATACCCAACACAGTGGCTTATAGAGAAAGTATTCTCAGAACTTAATGGTGGCCTTTGAGATTTGGTTGTACATAAGCCACATGCATTCTATATTTAGGCCCTGGCCCCTTTCCTTCTGAGCACTTTTCTCCTCAGCTCTGCCAATGGGGGTCTTGAAGTTGATGAGATCACTGTGACTACCACTCAGCTCAGCTCATTCCTCTGTGGACAGTAAGACTTGACTTGCAGATCCATGGTGGAGACTTTCAGATGGGTTTCCCAGCAGGCCATCTGACAGAAACTCTCTCTCGCTCTTCCTGTTGTCCTTTTCCAGGGTGGAGCTTCAGCATGGGCTCAGCCTACCAATTCCACAGTTGGCGTGTCTTCGTCATCGTCTGCGCACTCCCCTGCGTCTCCTCTGTGGTGGCCCTCACGTTCATGCCTGAGAGCCCTCGGTTTTTGCTGGAGGTAATGCTTGTTATTGCAAATACTCAAGTTACCCCATGTCCAATGGAAAAAGTCCCTTGACTCTTCCAAGAAAGTATGATTGTCTCTTTGGGAGGTACATTTTTCCTTCCTGAAGTGTTTGGTCTCACAGAGCCGTGCTTTAAACACCAGCATGTGAAAACGCCGACTAAATGCTAGAAAACACTCATGTTCCTCCTTCAACTTTTTGCTCAATGAAGAGATATGGCTTATTGTTTTGTAAATGAAATTTTACCATTAGCGTTCTTGGGTACTACATATAGGCGCATTCTTTGAACGACTAATGCATCCCATGATATCCAAGTAATCTGTATGTCCCAGTGCAACATATCTAAATACACTGGCACGATTACAACCTATCTGATCTGACAAAACAAGCTGGTTACTGTGAAATCAGGGAGTGTAAGTGTTACCAGAAAGCCAGCACATCTGTTTACCTTGATCCTTGCATCCAATGAGATGAGAATACAGGCAAGACACAGAAGTATAGTGAAAGTCATAGAGGAGTTTATTAGGAAAAGAGTACATTTCCAGTGGACTGAAAATGGGTTATCTCTAAAGAGAGAATGAGAATGACAATTATTTTTACCCTGGCACCAGTTTTTATTGAGGCTGAAGGGGCCTGGAGTGTTAATTCCCTCCTTAGGACAAGCCCCAAGGCTGAAGTCCTGGTTAAGGTCAGAAGATTAGGGTAGCCCTATAGATTTACAAAGTACCAACTATTATTGGGTCACCTGACCCCTAGGATATGATTTATAGGGCTAGGTCATTGTTTTGTTTGAGAAACTAATGTTGGGATGACTCAAAAACATCTTGTGACATCTCATGACCTAACAGGGGCTGAGTGTTTTTCTATAGGCAATCTTGAAGAATCCTCCATTTTAGGTTTTCTTTTCATATCCCCACTGCTCATAGTTAAACTACTGACATAGCTGGTCTACTCATCGCCCTCACTTCTGGATATTTCTTAGGTTGGAAAACATGATGAAGCGTGGATGATTCTGAAGTTAATTCATGACACCAACATGCGAGCCCGGGGTCAGCCTGAGAAGGTCTTCACGGTGAGTCGGCTCCTCAAAGACTCCTTCACGCCACTATGCAAAACACATTTTCATCAAGGACCCGACTATAAATATTTTAGACTTTGTAAGCCATATAATCTTTTGTCACAACTACTCAAGTCTTCCACTGCAGTACAAAGCGGCCAGAGATAATGTGTAAGCAAACAGGTGTGACTGTGTTCTAATAAAACTTTATTTACAAGGACCGGTAGAGGGTTGGGTTTGGCCCTTAGATTTGAACCCCTCTGTGTGCCTATCTAGAACTCCAGGGCTCTGTAATTGATTAAATAATAACACCAACATGAATATGGGATTGAGGTAGAAAGACCATGGTTTGATCTCAGATTTATTTTGACTCCAGGCTCAGAAGACAGAGGTATCACCATGTAGATAGATTCACATGTAGATAGACTGGTGATAGATCACCAATAGTTAGATTCTCCTTGACTTGCTGTCAGAGGAGTACTGGACCTCTATTGGGCCATCTCCTCTGCTGTCCCACTGCCACCCTCCTGAAATTTGTTTCCACAGACTGCTCAGCCAAGAAGTTCACTGGACCTTCAGGTCTCCTAGGCGAAGCAAATTGTGTCAGGGTTCAAAACCCAGCTCAGACACTTACTGGCTGTGTGACTTGAGCAAATAGCATCAAGATTCTGAGCTTCAGATTCCTTATCTACAGAGTAATTGTGATAATGCTTGGGAGGGTCCCATGAGATCTGGTAGGTAAAGCACTCAGCATTATGTCTGCTTCATTCTAAATACCTCATAAGCTGCAAATATTAATATGTACACACGTCTGTATACATACAAACGTGTGTACATATGTGTGCGTAGCTGTGTATGTGTACGAGGGCGGTAAGAAGACAAAGATAACATTTTAAAGTTGTGCTCTCTTGTCCTGCCCTGGAAGCCCATGACTTATCAGCCGCCTTGCCTTTCTCCTGCAACCTGTGGGTCTTTTATTGGACGACACATCCTGGTATGATAGGCTTAATTTACCGGAGGTTCTAACAGGAGTTCTTGTTCAAGATTTCACTGAGAGATGCCAGGTCAGACTTATGCCATATGGAAGAGAAAACCTGGACTTTTGGCTTTAACTGACCCTAGTGACAACTCCATTATAAGAGTATAAAAACATATTTTTAAATTATTTTTTAAAATTCCCTTGGCTGTGAATGTAGCTCAGTGGTAGAGCACTTATCTTAGCATGTACAAGGTCCTGGGTTTCATCCCCAGCACTAAAAAATCTCCCCAAATTTCAAAACCAGACAAGTTCATTGACATAAGAAGGAGATGGAAAAAGACATTCTCACAAATGGAAAAGTACAGAAAAAAACACCCATATAGCTTTCTTGAAAAATAAAAAAGAAGAAGAAACTCAATATATTTCAACCAGGATGAAACAAAATTGATAACTCAAGAAGTAAGAGGAACATATGGGCTTCTACGCAACTATTTTTAATATGATAATAGACCCAGAGCAATGTCAGAAATCTTTGAAAAAAAGTATGACATTATCACTTTTTAAGATTCTATAACAATTTTCTGTACCTAAAGCTACAGAAGTTCAGAATAGTAAAAATAATCAAGAGTAGGCTTATAAAAGTTTAGACTAGAGAATACTTTCAAATAAATTAAAAGTAACCAAATTTAGAATGAAATTAGAGATTGGATATACTTTTCAAAACCATTCTTAGAAAAAAAGAAGAATGTAGTTCATGTACAAGGGGTCAGGAAATAAGGATTTTCTTAAAATTAGAGTCAGAATAAATGTAGAAGTATTGTTTGTTAAATAAATAAAAATAGTACAAAAAGAAGCCAGGTGCCAGTGACTCATGCCTATAATCCTAGCTACTCAGAAGCAGAGATCAGGAGGATAGAAGTTCAAAGTCAGCCCAGGCAAATAGTTCACAAGACCCTATCTCAAAAACTTGCCCTCATTAGTGGGAATTCTGGTGTCTAGGCTTCCTGGGAAGTGGTACAAAGACATACATTCACAGCAGCCCCATATGTTTTCTCTAAGATGTCAGGAATTGTTCTTTGTAATTCTTAGGCTTAACAGATGTTAAGATGCTTAGTAATTTTTAAATTACTTATTGAAGGTTTTTAAAGAGTCAGTAATGAATAAGTGAGAAAGCAACTATACTAGAGGATCAAAGAAGAGTAATTAAGCACAAAACTGATCTCTGGGTTTCCTAACAACCAAAGCAAAAGCAAATTTAATGTATTACATAAGTTTTTATATAAAATAAATGCCAATATGTCTGATTTTTAGAAAATCTAATTTGTGAAAAGTTTATCCATAGGCCTTATTATAAAGAATATTAGCAACATAAGCAACATCTTTTTCCATTTTTAAAAAATTTTATTAGCATATAATAGTTATTCAGAGGGGATACATTGTGATATCTACGTATGTGTTTATAATACATCTTCGTTAGATTACTTCCTCCATCTTTCTCCCTCTTCCTCCTCCTCCCCCTCTTAGAACAATTTCAACAGGTTTCATTCTTCTGTTTTCATATATGGAATACAAAATACATATGCCATATTCACCCTCTTTTGCTCTTTTTTTATGCCCACCCCCCTCCCACTGGTACCCTTGCCTGGAAAAGACCTATTTTACCCTCCTGTCCTTCATTTTTTTAAGCATAGATTGATAGTCCAGGTGGGGGGGAGGGTGTTTCACAATGGTACTTCAGGTCTGTATATATCATGCTTTAATCAAATTAATGCCCCCATTACTCACTCTTTCTCTATCACCATGCTCCCCTAATATTCAACAGCTTACAGTTCAGAAAATTATATTATTATTAACTTTAAGGAGAAACAGTAGCTTTCACTTTCAATAACGCTTTTACATAAAGGCAAATATTCTATTCATAGCCATTTCTTAGACCAGCAATTAATCAGAATTTGGTAATGGAAGGTAATGGAATGTGTGGAAAGCCAAAGTATGTGACTTTGACTTGATGTGGTTTGATATGAACATCAGGTAAGAAAGAACCAGACTTATTTCCAAAATATGTGTTCCCTAGTATTCTACATGCATGCACACGAGCGCACACACACAACACCTACCCTAACTTCACATTGCTCAGGATAAAGACAAAGATGCTCATTCCAGCCCCCCTGGACCTGCCCATCCTGTCCTGCCTTTTGGGGTCCTCTCGCAGATATACTCATCTTGCAGTTCCTCAAACTTGCCATTTAACCTGATCTGCCATCTGGAATTCCCTCTGCCTGGAATGTTCTTCCATCCTCTTAGTGATTTTTTTCTTATGGGGAAAGCCAATTAAATTAATAAAAATAGGGTGCATGGGACTTCAGGAAGTAATGATTATTTTAAATCTTTTGATATATGCACTCATATTAGACATTAGATTAAGGATGGTTTGTCTAAAACAGGCTTAGAAGGACATGCACTAAAACATAAGGGGGAACCTAAGTAAGATCTTTAGTGGCTTAAATAACACTAATTATAGTTGTTCAAACATGTGCAATGGCCCTGGTTAAGCAAGTCCCTCCACCTATTTTATTTCATTTTTATTTTGGAAAGGTATCTTTGAAAGGTTAAAATAGGCTTTACTCTGGGCTAAGGATCAAACCCAGGGACTCATACATGCTAGGCAAATGCTCGACCACTGAGCTACACTTAGACCCATGGGTTCTTAACTAGCAAGATTGCCTATGTAGTATTATTCCATAAAAACTTGTGAACAGAAAGATTAATTTCATGTACTACCTGTGTGAAGGAAATCTTGAGATACGAAGCTATATCTGTAGAAAGTTAAATGGATTTTCCTAAAATTTTACTTCTTGAACTATTTTTTCATTTCTATGGAAAGGTTTAGCCCCAGTGACTGCTGCTTTAGTAAATACTAGAAAGGTAACACTAATGCACTGGTATTTGTGGGGTAAGTGGAATGCCAGAATAAAATATACCCCCGCTCGTAGAGCAGGAGCACACTTTCAAGTTCAGACTTGGCTAGGGAGAGGAATGGAATGTGAGAGAAAGCAGAGAAGCACAGGGACTGGGGGCAGTGGAACCTAAGTAATAGTTGAACAAAAATGTAAGTAAAATGCAAGTTAATTTTTTAAAAAGAAAAAAACCATTCATAGTAGGGGTAGATGGGTTTCTAACATGTTTGGGAATATCTTTGGAGAATGTATTTTAGTATGTAGTATGTAGTACTCTTAAAAAATCTGTCTCATTCAAAAGAGAATAATTCACAAGTAGCCTCAGGAAATAAATTATTATCAAAAATTTTTATCAAGTATTATTAAAAAAAGATTTCCTATGTAGCATGATAGAGAAATGAAGGTCACTGATAAATAGCCTCCATTAAAGCCCTGGAGAGCTTTGACTAGGCCCTTATTTTTTTCACTTTTCTTAGCATATATTCATTGCATAGGGGGGATTGCCAATTTCCAATATCCTTACGTTGTACATTGGTTAGAATTCCCCCACCATTTCCCCCTCCCACAACTCCGTCCTTGCCCCATTTAAAGCAATTGCAAGAGGTTTCATTGTTCTATTTCATATATATGAATCCCATCAACCATATTTCCTCATCTTCATGTCCTCCTTTCATCTTCCCTCCCTTCCACAAGTACCCCCCCCACACACTGTACCTATTTTACACTCCTTTCATTTTTTATTCCAAAGTTCAAAGGGATTTCTCAATGTATTCCAGCTGAGAATATACTGTAATTTGGTCAGTTCAACCCCCTCTGTTATGCTCCCTTACCCTTCCTTCCCACCTCCCATTATTCAACAGCTTTCAGTACATATTGTTAGGTCATCAACCCACACAGATGCAATGTATTTCAATATCATTGACTCTGTCTGTCATTCTCTTTTTCTTCTCTTCTCCCCAGGTTTCATAAGGTAGTTCTGCTATTATGAACGTGTTCTCTATATAAATGTGTATATGATCATGTTTGGTTTTGTCTGTACATTTATCTTTTGGATCTATCTTCCACATATGAGAGAACATGCACATGCCCTTCTTTTGAGATAATCTGAACTGATCACCTTAAAAGTCCCCAAGTCTCCTCCTTGTCCTAAATTCTATTAGCAAGTACAGTCAGCACCACCTAAACTGGAACCTGAAAAATCATATTCTTTCTTTCCTTTCTTCTTACTATATCCAGAAATCACCATGTGCTGTTACTCTACTTCCTTCCTTTCCATTCTTACTACCACTGACTTGGTTCAGTCATCATTGTCCATAGCCCTCTGACCTTGCACTATTCTTCAGGAATCCCAGGCTTGTTTTAGTTGCCCAATACACTATTTTCTCTCACACCTCTAGATGTTTCATTGACATCTCTCCCACCTAGCATGCCCCCCAAACCATTCTCTCACATAGCTAATAGCAGTCTCCTCTGTCAGCTTCAGCTCTAATTCCAGGGTCCATGAAGCCTTCTCTCTCACTCCCAGGTCAAATTAGATGTCCTGAGCAGTGTTTCTCTCCCTTGTATACAGACCTTCATGCAGATGCTTTTCACTTTGTATGGTAATTGCTTGGAGAGTATGATGTTGGGTATTTGCATCTCTTATGGATGCCAATGAATGAATAAACAAATAAATGTCAATGAGTGGAGCAGTGGAAACCTCCCAAAAGGAACATGTTGAATGATAACACTCCTGTGATGTAAAATTGACAATGAGTATCACAAAATAATCTCTACAGGGGTTGTTTTGAGCTCTCTGCATTTGGAATCCTATATTTAACTTAGACATGATTTTTGTCAACTAGAGACATCTTTGTTCACATAGCCAGAGAGAAATGTACCTGCCTGGAACATTTTGAAAAATGCCCAAGGTCCCCAATCACCTTGGTGAAAAACCAGCCTTAGTGCCTGGCTTCTCACAATAGAAGTGACATTTGGGATGTTGGCAGGCTCCCCAGAAAAACCCACTTCTGTCCTAGGCAGGGGTAACGTGTGCGTTCTCCTGTCTCTCCAGATTTATTGAAGCTGGTAAATGTCTGTTAACAGGAGAAGGTGGTCTGCCACAAAGGAGTTGGTCTTCCCCTTTTTCTATTTGTAGGATTCTTTCTGTGTTGAAAGTATTGCTTTACCTGGCTTGTGGCTCTTTCCTTAGAAAAAGAAAACTACCTTAAATCATAGAAGCAGCTTCTCACGCTGAACCTCTGTCATTTATTTCACTTATGCAACAGAAGAGTTGGTGTTGATGCTTGCAATGGTAACTCACTTACTTCTCCTTGAATCATGGCCACCTTGGGTATCTGTTGGCCAACCACCATGGGTCAGGCTGTGGGAGAAGGTAGAAAGGGCCGTAGTGATGCTCTATGAGTAACAGTTGAGTGGGATAGCTTTAAGAACTACAGTATAGACCAATTTCATCAAATAAAGATGTTCCCAAAAATGTGTGCAGTTGCTTTAAGCCAAGAAAAGTAATTCTAAGTCCAGAAGCTAATCTATCTGAATATTTTACCTACTAAATGATTCAGGCAAGGGCATTTTGGGTTCATATCATTTCATTACTACTTGTTCTTCCCCCATTTCTCTATGCCATTCTGTGTCATTCTTTCTTTATTCAGTTCCTCTAAGTGCTATTTGGCTCTGTAGACATATGCCAATGGTCTCGTGTGTATATACAGAGTGATTATCAAATATCACTGACTTTTTATTGAAGTCAGTTTTTGCTCATTTATGATAAATTGTGAACCAAAACTCAGCTACTTCAGAGAAGAAACTGGAGCCCTTTGTGCTTTGTTGCTCTCCACAGGTAAACAAAATCAAAACCCCTAAACAAATTGATGAGCTAATTGAAATTGAGAGTGACACAGGAACATGGTACAGGAGGTGTTTTGTTCGGATCCGCACAGAGCTGTATGGAGTAAGTACCAAATTCTGCGCCAATCCATGAGTCAACTGTGTGCCTTTGGTGGTGGTCAGAGGAGTGCTGACTCTTCCTGTCACACAATGGGGCTCTTCCCCTCTGCCCAGGACACCTGACTCCTGGACTAGGACCAGGCATTGGACCCCTTCCACATCAGCTGCTAGTGGATATGTTCTGTCTTGGGGAAGGAAGGAAGGTGTCAAGCCACAAATTGAAGCAGTGAAATCCTACCTTAAAGTCCACTGGCCTCCAGAAAGCTGAAAAGTAGAAATTCCAGCATTTGGTTCCCAACAGACTTAAGCTTTTACAATTTAAGTTGAAATAAATCCAGCTCAATGAAAACTCAGAGTTTTTAGTAATTTGGCAGAAGGGGTGGGAGAGTGGGATTGACTAATAATTGCATACAAAAACTAATTCTCTAATATTTCACAGATCTGGATGACTTTTAGGAGATGTTTCAACTATCCAGTCAGGGAAAATACAATAAAACTTACGATTGTTTGGTTCACCCTGTCTTTTGGGTAAGTGATATTTAAATTCTTGATGAGTGAAACAATTAACTATCACAGTGTAACTCCTAGTCACATTGCTTTTTTATACTGCTCTATGCTGTTAACCTGCTAGGAAAGAATGCCTTGTTTTTGTTTTTTCAACTTGGATGTGCTAAAAGCTATGGTTTTCATGAACCAATTCTTTTATTTATCTTGTCAGAAAACTTGACTGGCAAAACCAATAGATTTGAAAAATCCAATAAGGTCCCAGTTGATTTGCCCAATGGCTGTCCCACCCTCCTCTCCTCCTCTGCTCAGCACAGCTGCATCAACCTCTCTGGTCTACCTTGAATTTGCCAGACTGTCTCCATCTCAGGCCTTTACACGTCCTCTGCCCAGAACACTTCCACCAGGCAGCTATCCAGCTCATTCCCTTAATTCAAGTCTTCCTCAAATGTCTATGGCTCCATCCCTAAGCACCTTCCTTCCTTCCCTCCCTCCCTAACTTTCTCCCTTCCTTCCTTACTTCTTTTTTTCCTTGCACCCTTCCTCCCTCCTTCCTTCTCTTTTTCCCTCCTTCCTCTCTTGCTTTCACCCTGGCCCCTCCATACTCCCTACTCCTTTCTCAGCTTTATTATTCCCCTGGCATTTCTACTTTCTCCTATGCAAAAGTCTTCTTTACTGTATATAAAAGAGCTCTGGCTTCCCACTCTGGAAGCTCAATGTGGATGGGGGTTTTAAACTACCTATTCAGTGATGCACGTTCCTGACACGACGTGAACTCAACAAATAGTTGCTGCCACATGAATAGAAGCACCATATATGTGTTGTAAGAATAGAGGCAGTAGGGAGAAAACTCAGGATTTTAGTTTCTATTACTTGAATCTTCACTTTAGATGTGTGTGTGTGTGCAGCTCTGTTGTCACCTAACCTGCTGCCTTAGAACAAAGCAATGAATAATATCCTACACAGTCAGGATCTTCATGCCTGGTAGACAATGTAATCGCCATCTGTTAAAAGGGGTAAATTAAAACAGGCAAGTGATCAAAGATGACCCTCTTTCCCAGTGCTGGGTGAGGCGTGATATAGGGAGAGGGGGCTGCTGGGGAGCAGAGTCCTAGGTGCTCATTGTGCTGTGTGACTTGGTTAAGCCATATGATTTAGTTCCTTGTTTCTGAGTTAGGAGGGCTGGTTTAGAATACATAATGTAATTCTCACCCAACTTCTAAGAAACATCCATTAGTCATGGAAAGAAGAGAGGGCTGGAAATTAATATGTTAGGTGCCTACTGTGTGCCAAGCACTGAGTTAGGTACAAAAAAAAAGACAAAAATAACAAGAGGAAAGTCCTATTCTAACGTATGTGGGGTTTCATGATAGGCATTATCTGGTGTTCATTTGGGTAACTTCTTCATTGGTGATCAGATTTTAGTTTTATGATTTCTTTACTGCTCTCTCCCTGAAGCCTCAACAGTGCTTTACATTTTCCAGCTGTTCAGCAGATGTTGGCTGAATAAGTGGAAAATTAGCTGAAACTCCTCCACATCCTTGCTGATGGACATTCCAGGGTAATGGGCTTCCCTCATTGTTGCCAGTTTCAAGCTTTTGCCCTGTGTATATAACTGGAGAGTAATTCATAGAGGCTGTGTCCCTGAGTCATTTCTCATTTAGTGACCACCCCCCACACCTCCATTGTAATTGACTCATAGTCTGTGAAGAGCAGGGGTTGAAATCTATGGAAGGCACAGATGACTAAGGAAGCCTGACGATGATGATGATGATAAAAATGACTCATGCTGTCTTTTGGGCATCCCATCTAATCAGGGCAACTACCCAGGGAAAGTGGATACTGCCATCATTCAGATTTTAAGAGGTATGCTAAACTGAGACTTAGATAACTGGCTCAAGTTCACACAGCTGGCAAGTGGCAAGACCAGGATTCAGACTCAGTCTGCCTGCAAATTATTTCTTTCCCTATGAAGCTAAATATCACTGGGGTAAGAGAGAGCTGTGCTTCCAAACTGGACCATGCATCAAAACAACCCCCCCCCCTGCTGAGCGCTCATCCCCAGAGCCTTTGATTCATCAGGTCTAATCAGACCAAGTTCATGGGTACTGCTCCAAGGATCCCACTTTGGAAACTACTGCATTAAATCCAATAGAAATAGTTTGAGTTACAGATGTCATTTTAAATTTTCTTGTAACAACATACATAACAGAAAAGGTAAAAGGGAACAGGTAAAATTAATTTTACTGTTCTATTTTTTTTCAACTCATTATGCCCAAAGTAGTATCATTTCAACATACAATCAATATAAAATTATTAATGACTGGTTTTACATTCTTTTTTCATATGTTTTCAACACTCAGTGGTATTTTGTGTTTATAGAACATCTTGGTTTGGACTAGTCACATTGTAAATGCTTAGTTGTCACCTATAGTGAGTGGCGACATGCAGCCCAGCCTCTTAGAGAAACACATTAGGAGATGGGAGACAGAAAGGGGAAATAACCTGGTTTTTCAGATAGTCTCCTGAATAGTGCCTCCGGAAGTCCTGAGTCACGTTGGAAAAGGGGGCTTTTCCCCTGGCTAGCTGTATTACAGTAGTGTAGGAACCAAGACAGATTCTCCGTTAGTAAGAGAAGTCATTCTGCAAAGGCTATCATACTTCCTGGATCACAGGAATTTTTACCACCAGACTAGGGGATGGCTTTTCTCAGTGCAGCCCTGGATAAGAATGACATGACATCCACTCATGCTACCATAACAAAAGACTGGGTAGTTAAAAGTAACAGGGATTTATTGCTCACATTTCTGGAGAGGGAGGTCCAAAATCAAGCCCAGGTTATCACCTGGGCTCTGCTTCCAACATGGCAGCTTGCTGCTACATCCTCCAGTGGGGATGAACTCTGTGTCCTCACATGGTAGAAGAAATGGAAGGGCAAAAGGGAAGGAAGCAGCTCTTGTTACATCTTGTTACATCTTTTGAAAAATTTTGTAAAATACAACATCTTTTATATAATTTTGTGAAATACAACATCTTTTGTATTTTAACTAATCCTTTCCATGAGAACTCAGTCCTCATGACTTACCTACTTTCTAAAGACCTCACCTCTTAATACTACCACATTGGACTTTAAGATCCAATTTTGGGGGCTGGTGGAGTGGCTCAAGAGGTAAGAATGCCTGCCTAGCAAATATGAGGCCCTCACTTCATGCCACAGTGCCACAAAAAAAAAAAATCCATTTTTGGTATGCCCAGGCTCAGTAATCCCAGCTTCTCAGGAGGCAGAGATTGGGAGGATCGAAATTTGAGATCAGCCCAGGCAAAACATAAGTGAGACCCCATCCCAACAAATAAGCCAGGTATGATAGTATGCATTTGTCAACCCAACTACATAGGAGGCATAGGTAGGAGGATGTTGGTCTGAGGCTGACCCTGGGCAAAAACACAAGACCCTATCTGGAAAATAACCTAAAAGCAAAAAGGGCTAGAGGTGTGGCTCAAGTGGTAGAACACTTGCCTAGCAAGAACAAGGCCCTGATTTTAAACCCCAGTACCATCACCCTCCTCCCAAAAAAAACTCCCATTTTGGGGGACACATTCAGACCAGAGCACCATGTGTTAGTATAGAATGGGATTCTTTCTGCACATTTTTCCCAAAGAAAAGGTTCAGGAATTATACACCGAGAGTTTTCCAGCTAATCCCACTTCATCTCTCTAGCTCAATTTTTGCAGATTAATCTTGGGGGCAGAGGACACAGCAATTACTGTGTGATGATTCATTGAAATGACACAGGGAGCCAGTCATAATAGGAAAGCCTGCTCTGGGATCCACTAACCATCAGAAGTGTCAGGGAGGCACCTTTACAAATGCATGTCTCTTTATCTCGCAGGTACTATGGATTATCAGTTTGGTTCCCCGATGTCATTAAACATCTGCAGTCCGATGAATATGCATTGCTAACTAGAATTGTGCAAAGCGATAAATATGCAAATTTCAGTATTAACTTTACGATGGAAAATCAGATCCACACTGGGATGGAATATGACAACGGCAGGTCAGAAATCTTTGTGATAACTCCATTTGCTTCCTATGCACAAAACCGATGCTTATCAGTATTCACTGCACTGAAAGCTAAAGTTTTGCTGTTTTAGTTTGTACAGCTAGTCATCTTCAGGTTGAATTTGCGAACTTCTAAATAGACTTTAAAGATACATGTGTAACACTACTTCTGAAATTGAGGTGCCTCACAGTTTTTAAGTAGTGGAAACGACTAGTGTGAAAATGAGTTAGGGAAGAGGAGTGAGGCAATGAGAAAGTCAGATGGACAGGAGAGCTACTCAATCCAGGGAAGAAGTCTGACATGTAATTTATGAGTTTCCATTCCCAAGAAGGGGGACCACTGTTCAGAATTCCTCCCTTGTCTACTATGCTGAATCAAGAATCGAGGTTGAATTGTGCTGGGGAAAGTTTCAATTAGAGAACAGAAATGAACCCCCATGCCAAGGTAAGGGCTTTGAAAACAACCAATGGCTAGCAAGGGATGCTGTGGAGTACAGGACCGGGACACCTCTTGATGTCAAGAGGGAAGTGGCTCGCAGAGGTGGTTCTGGTTTGTTATTTCAGAGAGGGAAATGGATAGAGACAGTGCTAATGTCTACTTGTGTGTTGTCAAACCAAATAATTGCTGGGGTGAGCTCACGATAGCTTCCCAGTATTCTTAGGAAATTGTCCCAAGGTCAAAAACCAAAAATTATCAAATAAAGCTTCCCTGGGCAAAAACCCACTTGGAAAGATGGAATTCTCTGGGATACTTACTTACAGCCTGTGCAATAAAAAGGAGAGTTACCAACTGAGAAGGCCATCGATCTAATTAGCAATTCATAATCATTACTGAAGCTGTATAGCACCACCCTCACCCTTCCCACCTGAAATGCTGATTCAAATCTACGCTTCTATTTCACGGAAACCTCAGGACCAAATGCTCTGTATTCTAGGGTGAATTTTATTTTTTAAAGTATCGTTACTGCATCAGAAACTTATAAAATATAGCCAAGCACAGTGGTACACACTTAAAATCCCAGCACTCAACAGGCAGAGACAGAAGGAACCTGAATTTGAAGCCAGCCTGGGCTATACAGCAAGATCCTGTCACCAAAAAATGACAATAGCAAGAAATGAATTTCTAAAATGTTTGTGTCCCAGATAATCATCATTTTGTAATATTTATTCAGTTCTAAGCTGGATATTCAGTTATACTTAGGATTTTTTTTATATTAGCAATACAATGATTAATAAGTTAAATAGCACTATGTTAAAATCCTTGCTAAATGTGTATTTTCCATTTGTTATGCACTTATTTTAGATAATAGAAAAAAGTTTTTGCCTTTCAGAGAAATGTGAAATACCACTAAAGTGACTTTAAAAAAAACAAACACAGTTAACACAGTTTTCCTGTTCAATATTCTACAATGGCAATGCCTTCAGCACTGACATGGAATCCCCTCCCAGTAGACTGTAAATAAATAAGGCCAGGTGTAGACCAGCTAGTCCTCTTGCTGCAGAACCTCCTGGAAGAATCAGAAGAAAGTGACAGCTGTGGCTACCTCTGGGCAGAGGGTCTGGGGGTGTGGTATAGGAGCAGGTGGGGAAAGAATGATTCTTTCCTTTTTCAACTTCATACTACATGTGCTTTGTATGTGGATTCAGTTCCATTTTTAAAAATTGATAATCTTCTTTAAAATGGACCATTTTAGCCACCTTAAGTGCATTTAGATGATTTTCTTCTAGGTCCCTGGAGTGGAGGTTGAACAAAAATCTCTAGGCTGGTTGGTCTGCCAGGCCACAGTTCATTTTGAACTGACAAATGCAATCAAACATTACCAGGGGAATTATTTTGCATGTATTCAGTAGTTAGTGAATTGCTTTCAAGTCAGTTCACTCACCTCAAAGGATTAGCTCCTTTCGGTCCTTATTAAGAGTGGCATTAGAGCTGGGTGCTGGTGGTTCACACCTATAATCCTAGCTACTCAGGAGGCAAAGATCAGGATTGGGGTTCAAAGCCAGCCTGAGCAAATAATTCACAAGACCCAATATCGAAAAAAATCCATCATGATAAAGGGTGGTGGAGTAGTTCAAGTGGTAGAGCGCCTGCCCAGCAGGCATGAGGACCTGAGTTCAAACCCCAGTGCTGCCAGGAAAAAAAAAAAAAAGTGGTGTTAGTATATTAGCTTCTTCCAGTGAACTGGCATTTTCCTCTTAGTGACTGGCTAAAGATACATTGCTAGTCTTTTAATAAGATACCAAGACACATTGATGAATATGTATCCTGTCTGCTAGAAGTCCTTATCAATGCTGAATCATAGACTCTAAAATGTTACAGTTATTATGACTATCACCATATTCACCACATAGAACTCCCCCTTCCATGCTCACAAGTGCATCTGAGCCCATTTCATCAACCAAAGGATACATGAGACAAAAAGGGGGAAGGTAAAGAACTTAGAGAATCCAGAAACTAAACAGAGCTCTGGTATTGTGATATGGCTCAAGGAATTGAGCTGTTGCTGGGAGAAGGAAACTCCTCCTGGAATGATATGACCTGTGCGTTCCCTGACCCTGTGGCATCATTCCTCTCATGGACGTAGCAGAATTCTCAGGCCTTCTCAGGACAATTGAAGTTCCCTTCTCTAGAATGAAGAACTCTGAAGTTCTTCAGGAAACAGATTTTATTAAAAGCTCGGGGGCCGGGAAATTAGCTCAGTGGCAGAGTATTTGCCTAGTATATGCCAGGCCCTGGGGTTGACCTTCAACAGTGCAAAAAATAAAAATAAAAAATAAAATTCAGGTAGGAATATACACTCAAGTTAGTTATTAACTCCAAATAGAGAATTTTCAAATAATGGCATGGGTAACAGAATTAAGAATAAAGAATTAGAAGGCATAAGTAATCCTCCAACTCTCTACTTTCACCTGTAAACCTCACAAAAGCTTTTACCAACATTGCAAAAAGCTAAATGAACTTGAGTATAATCACTTCCTGGTGGGAACCACAAGACAACCAAAGGACACATGAGACAAAAAGAGGGATGGTAAAGAGCTTAGAGAATCCAGAAGCCTGTTGTCCATCATAACTAAGAAAGTCTAACAGGTTACTCCAGAGGCACCTGCACACCCATGTTTATTGTGGCACTAGTCACAATAGCCAAGTTATGGAAACAGCCAAGATGCCCCACTACTAACGAATGGATCAAGAAAATGTGGTATCTATACACAATGGAATTTTATGCAGCCATGAAGAAGAACGAAATGTTATCATTCACTGGTAAATGGATGGAATTAGAGAACATCATTCTGAGTGAGGTTAGCCTGGCTCAAAAGACCAAAAATCGTATGTTCTCCCTCATATGTGGACATTAGATCAAGGGCAAACACAACAAGGGGATTGGACTATGAGCACATGATAAAAGCGAGAGCACACAAGGGAGGGGTGAGGATAGGTAAGACACCTAAAAAACTAGCTAGCATTTGTTGCCCTTAATGCAGAGAAACTAAAGCAGATACCTTAAAGCAACTGAGGCCAATAGGAAAAAGGGAACAGGTACTAGAGAAAAGGTGAGATCAAAAAGAATTAACCTAGAAGGTAACACCCACGCACAGGAAATCAATGTGAGTCAATGCCCTGTATAGCTATCCTTATCTCAACCAGCAAAACCCCTTGTTCCTTCCTATTATGGCTTATACTCTCTCTACAACAAAATTAGAGATAAGGGCAAAATAGTTTCTGCTGGGTATTGAGGGGGGGAGCGGGAGGGGACGGAGTGGTGGTAAGGGAGGGGGTGGGGGCAGGGGGAGAAATGAACCAAGCCTTGTATGCACATATGAATAATAAAAGAAAAATGAAAAAAAAGAATTAACCTAGAAGGTAACACACATGCACAGGAAATTAATGTGAGTCAACTCCCTGTTTGGCTATCCTTATCTCAACCAGCAAAAACCCTTGTTCCTTCCTATTATTGCTTATACTCTCTCTTCAACAAAATTAGAGATAAGGGCAAAATAGTTTCTGCTGGGTATTGAGGGGGTGAGGGGGGAGAGGGAGGGGGTGGAGTGGGTGGTAAGGGAGGGGGTGGGGGCAAGGGGGAGAAATGACCCAAGCCTTGTATGCACATATGAATAATAAAACAATAAAAAAAAACTAACAAAGTCTATAGTCAGCATTACATCTCTAAACCTATTTGACTTAGCCTTGAACTGTAATGGACACAGTCATTGACATGAATTTATGTGTGTGTTGAACAGATTCCTAGGGGTGAAGTTCAAATCTGTAACTTTCAAAGACTCAGTGTTTAAGACCTGCACCTTTGAGGACGTGACTTCAGTCAACACTTACTTCAGGAATTGTACATTTATTGACACCATTTTTGACAACACAGGTAGGTGTGTCGCTTAGCACTGTCTCCAGCTGGGCCCTTTCAAAGGCCCTCTCTCTTGGCAGAAATATGATAACATGTGATAGTGAGGCCAGAGGTTTGTAGAGGAAGTGGAGATTAAAGTGTAAATGAACAAGTTCCCTGAATTAGGCTAAATCAAAGGCAAGCTTCTGTTGTTTCTCTTGGCTAGATTTAATGCAAATGGAGTTTGCCCAAGTTCAAAGTTAGCAAAAGAAAAAAAAATCCTTTGATGAAAAAATTTTAAAGCAAGAATTAACCTGAAGTTTGTTTTGATAATCCTGATATCAAAATCTGATGTTTGTTTAAAAAAGCATGCTATATACTCTCAGTCAGCAGAGGTGGACAATGTGTGACGATTTAACATGACATTAAATATAATGTTTTAGCCCAATCTATATACCAGAGTCTGTGAAATTCCCCAGGTAAACAAAGAAATGAAAGCAAACATTGAGTGAGCCCTTACGTTGTGCTGTTTCCTATCATAAGTCATCAGGTGTTCACTATCTTGTGAAGTTTTCCCAATAAACTAGTCATTTGGCCCCAATTATAGAACTGGCAGTAACTGGTGTTGGAACCCAGATCTACCTGATTTCAGTACTCATACTTCCCCACTCCCACACTTTCATTCTCTAAAATGTGCCCAGAATAACAGTCCGACGCTGGTAGGAGACCATTATCCATTCTGCCCTCCTGGTGCTCAGACAGGAGCCAGCTCTGCCCAGCACCAAATGAGAATGATGTCAGGTGTCTTTGTTTTTCAAGCAGTGCTACTTATCACTGTCTTCTAACACAATGGACCTCAGGAAAGCAACTTTTTTTTTTCTTTTTGGCAGATCTTTGTGGAGATTTTGTTTTGTTTGGGACAGTAATGGGGTTTGAACTCAGGGCCTCACACTTGCTAGGCAGGTGCTCTACTACTTGAGCCACTCTGCTAGCCTTTTTGGCTGATCTTGATCAGCAAGGAAGACAACAGTTTTGATTCCCATAGTCTTTGAGCAGAGCTCACCATTAGGTGTAATCCTTCTTGGATAGATCCAAGATCAAGAAAAAACTTACTAGCAGTGAATACTGGTGACCTTCGAATGAGGCTGACTCCTGTTCTATGGGGTGGTCCACATAGACCTTAAATTATAAATGTAGCCTCAAGGACCCAAGGAGAATCCCATTTCTTCTCTGTGCCTCTGAGTCCTATAAAATGACATCAGTAAGGTCAATTTGTACACATTTTAAAACAAATTGTTTTTATAATTGTAGCATGGAACTTCTTAGTAATATAATGATGGCCTTTATATAGCATGATAATTAGAACAAAGTAATATTTTATAGGAGTGAGTAAGTAATTTAATTAGCAATGGCCAAGCACAGGAAATCAGAAGATAACAGGACTCTTTAACTTAATTTACTTTTTCCCATTCATTAAAAGAATCCATCCATTCTGCCTCTTTGTAACACGAGGTCCCAGACTAGACCATTCTTGGGCAAGGAAAAGACACAAAAAGTCAAGCCAGCCCAGGCCATGAGATCCTCAAGAAATTTACAGTGCATGCCTTTCACTTACACCTGCTAAGGGTTGGTGATTTATTTTTGTTGTTTCTACAGATTTTGAGCCATATAAATTCATCAACAGCGAATTTCAAAACTGCTCATTTTTTCACAACAAGACAGGATGCCAGATTACCTTTGATGATGACTATAGTGCCTACTGGATTTATTTTGTCAACTTCCTGGGTACATTGGCAGTGTTGCCAGGAAACATTGTGTCTGCTCTCCTGATGGACAGAATTGGGCGCTTAACCATGCTAGGTATGTGCTCTGGTTCCTGGAAATGAAAAAAGCTGTCCCTGTGATCCAGAGGGAGCCTGTCTCCTACCAAGTCCCCTGTGCCTTAGAGATTTGTATCCCAGGAGGAAAAATCCTTTATGCCTTTCATTAGGACTAAATTGTAGCGAAAATTATGTCTAATTACATTTCATTTGAGCAGTTTCCATGAGTTAACAGACTGAAAGCTAATTTTGTGTAACTAATGTATATTTTTCCACTTAAGTAGCTGAGTGATGGGTGATGTGCATTTCATACTTGCTATGTTGGAAAGACGACCTTTCAAACAGGTGAATGCACATGCACGTTGAGTTTCATGGAGCCCAGTCTGCAGCTTCCCTATGGAGTTGTTTTCCTGAGTGATCTCAAAGACCTAAACATCCTTGCTCTACTGAGATGAGAAGAGACACTCAGTCCTTTGTCTGCGTTGTCGGCAGGTGGCTCGATGGTGCTTTCAGGGATCAGCTGCTTCTTCCTTTGGTTTGGCACCAGCGAATCCATGATGATAGGCATGCTGTGTCTGTACAATGGATTGACCATCTCAGCTTGGAACTCCCTTGATGTCGTCACGGTGGAACTGTACCCTACAGACCGGAGGTATGTTGAAATGGGCCTACTTGGATAGAGGTGCTCCAAGCCCCATGGGACCCCTGAAAAATGATTAAAAAGTAAACCAAACTGCCACTTTCCCAAGAAAGTGAAAATCCAAAAAGAATCTAGCTTATGAAATTGTAGGTTCCACTTATATCTTTTAAAAGGAAAACAGAGAATATAATTCCTTGCAGGAATTACTAGGGTAAAGAAGCCAGTTAAGAAATTTGTGTCAGTGATGTAATTTGTTGGCTAACATAGGAGGCAACTATAATGTCTTGGTGAGGATTAGGATTTAATGGCTTATCTCGGCCCACATTTTGAGTGGCTAATCAGCCCTGCAAGGGTCATTACCTTACATTTGCAGGTGTCTACATGAGTTCTTCATCAGCAACCACAAAGAGGTCTCTAAAACATCTTTTGACCCAGTCTATTAGAGAAAAGACCAACACGCTCGTAGTTACAGAACAAAGAGAGATTGCTATTGCAGGAAAAATGCTCATCTAGTTTCAAAATGGAGACACAGCTACTTTGTTTTTCAAATCAGAGAAAGGGCTGGAAGGTAGAGCTTTGGGGGTAGAACTTCAGCAGCTGAATAATAAAAGGAATAGAAGCCCTGTTTTGCTACTTGACATCTTTTATTTCATGTACAATTCTTAGGCTTTGTCACTGTGGAAGCCTCTGTGCTAGAATATTCTACATTCTCATTTTGAAAACAAGGCCCACCTAGATGTAGACTGAACCATATATTTAAAATAAACCAAAAACCCCTGCATATTAAAGCCAGGCTGTCAGAACCTCCTTCCTTTTTGCTTTACACTGGAAGTTTGATAGTATTTTAGGTGAAGTCAATGGCTTATCCTGCTACCATAAGTAATGGAAGAATGAGTATTCTATGAAAAAAAAAAAACTGGTTTAAAAAAGAAAACCTCAAGATTTGAGTAGGCCCTTCCTCTGAGAAACCTGAACCTGTTATAATTTTCTTGTCAGAAAGGTTTAAACATCAAGTGAGATAAAAAGAGAACTTTGTGTTCACTCAGTGCTCTGAGAAGTAGACATCGAGATGGGATTTAAACATGCTAGGACTGGATGAGCCATGTGTGGTCTTCTCTCCAGAGCTAAGGACAAGTAAACATCAGTTATAAAATGGTGTGGTCAGGGTTGGTATGAGGAAAGGGCACGGTCCTTCCTTCTTCCTTCCTTCCTTCCTTCCTTCTTTCTTTTGCTACATAGCTCAGGCTAGCCTTGAACTCTCAATACTCCTGCCTCAGTCCCCCAAGTGCTGGGATTACAGCTATGAACCACCAAGCCCAGCTCAGAGAAGGTTTCTATGAACCACCAAGCCCAGCTCAGCAAAGGTTTCTTGAAACACATAACTTCTAAGCTAAAACTTGAACAGTAGATGAAGCCAAGCAGATGGAAAGAGTGCCCTCTGAAAATAAAAGCTCTGGAAGGAAACAGGTAACAAAGTTCAGCAAAAAACTAGGTCATGGAGGCCTATGTATCACTTTAGCCTGTGAGGATGTGGCGCCTTGCAGTGTTGTAGGCAGAACAAGGCCAAGATCAAACCAGGGTTAGAGAGTTCACTCTGGTGGCCAGAAGGGAAGCAGGAAGCTCATTAGAACACTGAGGGTGGTGATGTAGACGAGAAGAGTGAAGGTGGGGAAGAAGAAGTCAGCATTCACCATGTTCGTGGATTTTAGGAGCAAAATCAAGAAACTGAGAGCTTGATTAGATGTTGGAGTGAGGAAAGGAGGTTGTCAAAGAGGATTCTGTTTTCGCTTTCATGGTTCAGAGGACGGCTATGGCCATACTGAGACAGCCACAGGAGGAACAGTGGGTTCAGTCACGGGGTCAAGAAGAGAATGAGTTCCATTTGGGACATGTTGCGTTCTCATGTCAATGTGGAGCTGCCCAGTGGACATTTGAATACTTATGCTGGCTACCAGAGAGGTGCCTGAGCTAGGGACAGACCCCACTCACTAATTTATCCCACAGATTCTTATAGGTTATGTCATGTGCCCAGGACTGTTCTAGACATTGAGACACAGCAGTGAACAGACAGAAGGCTTATCCTTTTTTTTTTTTCCATTCTTTTTTTTTTTTAGATTAAAATTTTATTTTTTTTTTCATTTTTCTTTTATTATTCATATGTGCATACAAGGCTTGGTTCATTTCTCCCCCCTGCCCCCACCCCCTCCCTTACCACCCACTCCGCCCCCTCCCTCTCCCCCCCTCAATACCCAGCAGAAACTATTTTGCCCTTATTTCTAATTTTGTTGTAGAGAGAGTATCAACAATAATAGGAAGGAACAAGGGTTTTTGCTGGTTGAGATAAGGATAGCTATACAGGGCATTGACTCACATTGATTTCCTGTGCGTGGGTGTTACCTTCTAGGTTAATTCTTTTTGATCTAACCTTTTCTCTAGTACCTGTTCCCCTTTTCCTATTGGCCTCAGTTGCTTTAAGGTATCTGCTTTAGTTTCTCTGCGTTAAGGGCAACAAATGCTAGCTAGTTTTTTAGGTGTCTTACCTATCCTCACCCCTCCCTTGTGTGCTCTCGCTTTTATCATGTGCTCAAAGTCCAATCCCCTTGTTGTGTTTGCCCTTGATCTAATGTCCACATATGAGGGAGAACATACGATTTTTGGTCTTTTGGGCCAGGCTAACCTCACTCAGAATGATGTTCTCCAATTCCATCCATTTACCAGCGAATGATAACATTTCGTTCTTCTTCATGGCTGCATAAAATTCCATTGTGTATAGATACCACATTTTCTTAATCCATTCGTCAGTGGTGGGGCATCTTGGCTGTTTCCATAACTTGGCTATTGTGAATAGTGCCGCAATAAACATGGATGTGCAGGTGCCTCTGGAGTAACAGTCTTTTGGGTATATCCCCAAGAGTGGTATTGCTGGATCAAATGGTAGATCGATGTCCAGCTTTTTAAGTAGCCTCCAAATTTTTTTCCAGAGTGGTTGTACTAGTCTACATTCCCACCAACAGTGTAAGAGGGTTCCTTTTTCCCCGCATCCTCCCCAACACCTGTTGTTCTTGGTGTTGCTGATGATGGCTATTCTAACAGGGGTGAGGTGGAATCTTAGCGTGGTTTTAATTTGCATTTCCTTTATTGCTAGAGATGGTGAGCATTTTTTCATGTGTTTTCTGGCCATTTGAATTTCTTCTTTTGAGAAAGTTCTGTTTAGTTCACTTGCCCATTTCTTTATTGGTTCATTAGTTTTGGGAGAATTTAGTTTTTTAAGTTCCCTGTATATTCTGGTTATCAGTCCTTTGTCTGATGTATAGTTGGCAAATATTTTCTCCCACTCTGTGGGTGTTCTCTTCAGTTTAGAGACCATTTCTTTTGATGAACAGAAGCTTTTTAGTTTTATGAGGTCCCATTTATCTATGCTATCTCTTAGTTGCTGTGCTGCTGGGGTTTCATTGAGAAAGTTCTTACCTATACCTACTAACTCCAGAGTATTTCCTACTCTTTCTGTATCAACTTAAGAGTTTGGGGTCTGATATTAAGATCCTTGATCCATTTTGAGTTAATCTTGGTATAGGGTGATATACATGGATCTAGTTTCAGTTTTTTGCAGACTGCTAACCAGTTTTCCCAGCAGTTTTTGTTGAAGAGGCTGCTATTTCTCCATCGTATATTTTTAGCTCCTTTGTCAAAGACAAGTTGCTTATAGTTGTGTGGCTTCATATCTGGTCCTCTATTCTGTTCCACTGGTCTTCATGTCTGTTTTTGTGCCAGTACCATGCTGTTTTTATTGTTATTGCTTTGTAATATAGTTTGAAGTCAGGTATTGTGATACCTCCTGCATTGTTCTTTTGACTGAGTATTGCCTTGGCTATTCGTGGCCTCTTGTGTTTCCATATAAATTTAACAGTAGATTTTTCAATCTCTTTAATGAATGTCATTGGAATTTTGATGGGAATTGCATTAAACATGTAGATTACTTTGGGGAGTATCGACATTTTTACTATGTTGATTCTACCAATCCATGAGCATGGGAGATCTCTCCACTTTCTATAGTCTTCCTCAATCTCTTTCTTCAGAAGTGTATAGTTTTCCTTGTAGAGGTCTTTCACATCTTTTGTTAGGTTTACACCTAGGTATTTGATTTTTTTGAGGCTATTGTAAATGGAATTGTTTTCATACATTCTTTTTCAGTTTGCTCATTGTTAGTGTATAGAAATGCTAATGATTTTTCTATGTTGATTTTATATCCTGCTACCTTGCTATAGCTATTGATGATGTCTAGAAGCTTCTGAGTAGAGTTTTTTGGGTCTTTAAGGTATAGGATCATGTCGTCTGCAAATAGGGATATTTTGACAGTTTCTTTACCTATTGTATTCCTTTTATTCCTTCTTCTTGCCTAATTGCTCTGGCTAGGAATTCCAGTACTATGTTGAATAGGAGTGGAGATAGTGGGCATCCTTGTCTGGTTCCTGATTTTAGAGGGAATGGTTTCAGTTTTTCTCCATTAAGTATAATGCTGGCTGTAGGTTTGTCATATATAGCTTTTATAATGTTGAGGAACTTTCCTTCTATTCCTAGTTTTCTTAGAGCTTTTATCATGAAATGATGTTGGATCTTATCAAAGGCTTTTTCTGCATCTATTGAGATGATCAAGTGGTTTTTGTCTTTGCTTCTGTTAATGTGGTTTATTACGTTTATTGATTTTCGTATGTTGAACCACCCCTGCATCCCTGGGATGAAGCCTACTTGGTCGTGGTGAATAATCTTTTTGATGTGTTGCTGAATTCGGTTTGCCATTATTTTGTTGAGGATTTTTGCATCAATGTTCATTAAGGAGATTGGCCTATAGTTCTCCTTTTTGGAGGTGTCTTTGCCTGGTTTTGGGATAAGTGTAATACTGGCTTCATAAAATGTGTTTGGCAGTTTTCCTTCCCTTTCTATTTCATGGAACAGTTTAAGGAGGGTTGGTATCAGTTCTTCTTTAAAGGTCTGATAGAATTCAGCAGAGAATCCATCAGGTCCTGGACTTTTCTTTTTGGG